GCCACGGCCAGAAGGGCGCCTGCTGCCTGAGGGCTCTGGGTACCTCCTTTGCCTCCTTAATCCTCGCCCAGGAAAAGGAGATTTTAATCATTGCGACATTTTAGTGGCGATTCACTACGTGTTTAATAAACAGCACTAACCTGCCCCGCGGTTCTGGCACCGGATGGGTCCTGGTTTTCTCCCAGGAGCAGTGGGAGGGGGCACTGCTGGGCAAGGCCACAGCAGCTTCAGGCTCAGCCAAGGGGAAGGCCCTGGCAGGGTGAAGGGAAGGAGCCTCCCCAGCAGCACCAAATGGGAAGCGATGTGGTTCCCGGCTGCACCAGTCAGCAAACCCTGCCCCTCTCTGGCCTTGCCTTTGGCAGCAGCAGGCACAGGCCCCAGCTCTGCTGCAGGAGGAGACAGCTCCCAAGTTCAGGGCTGACTGGGGAGGCCACTGTGCTGCCAGCCTGGAGCAGCCTGGCACAGCCAGGGCTTGTGCTGCAGCTACAGCCCCTGCTCCCTCCTGGGCTCCTGGCACAGCTCAGAGCCGAGTTTGAGACCCAAGAGACCCTTGAGGACAGGAAGATCATGGTGCTAGTGATGCCCAGCAGGGCAGAGAAGCCCAGGGCATGACATTTACCCTCCCACCCTCGCAGGGAGGCCCCACCAGCTGCTCCCCCCATAGCTGGGGGGCAGGTGGCACCCCAAGGCTGGGAGCAGACACAGAGGCCCTGCGTTCACCACCCCCAGCCCACAGGGTCTCAGAGCAGCAGTCTCCTCTGCACCCTCAAAGGGCTCCTGGCGCTGCCCAGCCCCTCTCAGCTGCCCTCCCCAGTACAGAGATGCACCAGCAGAGGGGTTTCATGGTGTTTATTGATCAAGCATGAGCTCCTAGGCAACGCACCAGCCAGTTGTGCTAGAGCCTGAGGTGTCACACGTCCATCCCCAGCGTCAGAGAGGGCTGCAGCCAGCTGGTCACGGTGCCAGCACCTCCACGAGGCCCAGGAACAGGCCCAGCCATGGCCTGGAGACGGGGAGCTGGAAACTCAGATGTCCATCTCAAACTGGTCTTGATCTGCAAGGGCACGGAGGGATACAGGGCTGGGGTTAGGATGGGGCTGTCCTGGGAGGAACAAGCAGCAAAAGGGCAGGAGCTGGAACAGGGCAGAGCCGGGATCTGCCCTTGTCCTGGGGGCAGACGGGAGCTGCAGGCAGCGCAGGGGCCAGGGCTGCTCACCTGGCATGGCTTCTTCGCTCTCATTCTGCTCCTTGGGCTCCTCCAGCTTGGCGGGGCTGGACTGGGCCAGGGATGTGACACCGGGGATCTGGGGCAGGCAGCAGGGAGGGGTCCTGGCCACGGGTGAATTCTTGCACTCCAGCAGGAACTTGCGGTCGTAGATGATGCGGGTACCTGCCAAAAGCAGGGGGCT